TTTGTTTGTGTTTTAAAGATATGCCGGAACTCTCAAGAGGGAAATTAAGTTTTCAACCTGTATACTAAAAACTCATGAAATTTTAAACATTTTAAAAAGAATTTTATCGAAGAGGTTCCAGAACTCCATACCTGCATGTTTTTCCCAGAAAAAAAGCCCTGCTGGTAATGTTCCCTCTAAGCTGTGGAGTTTTGTGAGCAAAAATTCTACTCTGTGAGCTACTGGCATTAGCGTTGTGAGCGAGCAATCTGGCTACTGCATAAATTAGCTTGCTCTGGAGCCATCCTTCCTGAGCTAAGAAAAAAATGTGTGAACCGGAGGCTAAAAACTGTGAACTAGCTCACACTAACTCAGCTTAGAGGGAACACTGCGGTACAGCAGCTCCATTTCCAGAAAAGGACACAAAATTGTGCATGAAGAAATGGGAACAACAATGAAGCAGTACTTACAAGGATGTATATTCACATTTTAAGGTATGTTTAGTGTCTTTTGATACATAGGATCTAATTCATTGATAATTTAGTTCCGTTCACCTATGAAGATATGTTTTTACCTGAAAAATCACACCAAAGGCAAACTGCCATTTTGACTCACTAACAAAACTTGAAATTGACCATATCAGTATTACCTTCATAGAATGGACGTTCTCTTACAAAGTAGATATATTTTCTGACTCTTACTAGAGTTGTTCAGTAGACTGCATGATTTGCATGTATAAAGCAGCAGGCTCAGTACGTGTTTAGCTGGGATAGCCCCTATTTTCTAATCTCTCTCTATGGTAAATCACACTTTTGGGGGACACTTCATTAAAGTTCTGTTAGTGTGAATGCTAGAGTTGTCATTCTTCAGCGTTCACCCTGTGCCCCTCATCTTCAGCAGATACATTTCCAAGTGAGTATGTGTGTATGCAGGGGGTTGCATCTGGTCTCCTGTGCTCATATATGAAAATGCATGAGCGTAAACACAAAAGCAAATAAGCATGCCATTTCAGACACTCCAAATGCATAGGTATACAGTATTTTGCATTGTTGATATGCAGCAGAACAGTTATGTTTTCTGGGAGATCATTAATCCAGCACACCTCTTGGCTCTTAAATCACTAAAGGGCAACTGTTGCATAAGTGCATTATACACCAGGCAGATCTGTAACTGGGAAGTTCCTGGCAGTGATCTTTGAGACAAGAATAGGGATGGTGGAATCTCTCTTCTGTATTTCTATTTTCATCTGTGAAATGGTGGGATGGTACCCTATTTACATCTAAATAACAATCTGTTATTGAGCTGCGGTGGCTCAAGTCGTTAAAACGCTGAACTGCAGGCTGTGGAAGGTCAGTAGTTCAGCAGTTCGAGACCCGTGTGCCGCAAGACGGAGTGAGCTCCCGTCTCTAGTTCCAGCTCCTGCCAACCTAGCAGTTCAAAAGCAAGACATTGCAAGTAGATAAATAGGTACCACTTCAGTGGGAAGGTAACAGCGTTCCATGCGCCTTGGTGTTTAGTCATGCCGGCCACATGACCACGGAAACGTCTTCGGACAGCGCTGGCTCTTCGGCTTTGAAACGGAGATGAGCACCACAACCCTAGAGTTGGACTCGACTGGCTTTCGAGCAAGGGAACCTTTACCTTTACCTAACAATCTCAAACAGCAAGCTTAGGAAACTGACACTCAGAAGAGATGGACCATCAAACATACTCATGCAAGGCTTGGAACTGGGTCTTCGCAACTGACACACCTCTTTGTATCTGCACGAGTCTATACTCTCTTGCTCCAGCGAACCAACCAGATCTTTGTGTGGGGTGCTGGGCTATGGAATGACTGCATTTTATCACAGCACTCAACTAAATATGGGACTTTCTTCTAGTGGATGGGCCTGTGATAGGGAAGGCTCTCCCACTGTGTTTAAGAGTCACTATGCCTAAAATGGGAAACTAAACTTCAAATTCTAACAATCAACACCTCATGCCAAATGTAACACATAGAGCTAACAGTTCAGCTCTTCATATATGAGACAAGCAGTCAATTACATTTACACATGAAATGAACAACTGTCATATTTTCAGAAAGCTTTTATGCTTATTCTAGCTATATATATTCCATGCAAATAGCAAATCACATTGAATTCAAACCAACAGAAAATATGCCATTTTTAAATTGCTTACACACAATATGCAACCAAACCAATTTCATTAGCATTGAATTTCTGTGAGCATATCTTGCTTCCAAATGACACTAATAATATTTTTAGCTCAAGTACCTGTGTACAGCTATAACTGAAGTAAAAAGTCTGGGACTCCCAGGAACCACACTGGTAAATATGAATTCAAAACGTGTAGCATTACATCTAGTTAATATATAAAGTGCTTCTGTCTGGCCTCTTAACTTCTGTAAAGGAAGAGTATGACATTTAGTATTTTGGTGCAGTAATTCCAAAAAAAGTCTACAAAACAAATATTATATGTATTATATCACTAATTTAATGTTTTTCTGATATAACAATTCTATACACACCTGTGAGTATCTGAAAGTCGTTTATGGTCAGATGAACTAGTGCATAATTAACATTAACATTCTAACTCTCTCTGCAAGTCTTTCAACAAAAAACAGCTGGTTTTAAAGATCTCAGATAGTTTCAGTGTGATTCTGTTTCTGTGACAGAAGTGAATTTTGACATAACTTGGGCTATGATCTGAAGTGTAACTTACTAAGAAGATCCAGTGAAATCTAATGGTCCGAAAAATACGGTAAATGGCTTTAAGAACGATTGGAAAGTTATATAGTTTAATAATAGCACATTATATGTTACTTTCCCCAATATAAAACTTGTTTCTTAAACTTACTGAGTTAGCCATTCTTGTTGTTATATTCACGAAACAATTGTAACCTACAGCTAAGTAATTAGGAGACAGAAAAATAATATTGGTAAATATGAAATAAGAACCCCACAGACAGTATGCTGTTATACATTCATTTCCAGGCTGCATTTTATCCATTCTAAAGTACTACAAAAATCTCCCTTATCCAAAACACAGTTGACGTTACTTTTACCTAATGTCACTATAACACAAAAGATTTTTCTTTCTAGCATCCAACATACACTGTCTGAATTAAGGAACAACTTATTCACAATTTCTTAAGTTTGTTAAAATACTGTAACAACCTCTGAGTTGTCAAATATTTAACACTGAAACTCTAATGCTAAATTAGGATTCTTTATGTGAATTAACATTATGAAGGAAGAAATAGTGTGAAGTATCTCAGGCACAAAGAAACAACATCACAACAAACAGACAAAGGACAATTCAAAACTGTAACAATTTCTTATTGTTAAAAAGTCACATTTTTTAGAAACACAGAATGTTCTTTGATGCTCAGAATATTTTTAGAAATATTTTAGAGTATTTGAGAAACTTAATTATTTATTCAACTAAAGTTATTGTTTAAGAAAGAATCATGTTAAAGCGAACATCTCTTCAGATAGCAGTTTTAATACTTTGCTACAGACTGTCAAACAACAACTCTAAAATACAGTAAAATCAGTGTAGTCTGAATCTATTGACTGCAATCGCCCAATTTAAAACCACAATAAATAGAATCTTCTTTCCAATTAACCATGCATTCTATATACACAGACACACATATATACACCATCTCTTGCCAAGTTTCTCTCTCTACTCTCAGGCTAATGGAACTGACAGGTAGAATGACATCTTCATATGTGGTTATACTTGTAGCTATTGTGAATTGTCCCACATAAAAAGGAACGGTGTGGCATAGGCTAACTCAGAACCAACACCTGTCCTAACACTAAAACACAGCTGCACCAACATTTTTATCCTGCTGTATCACAGACTGTACAACCCAGCTGTGCCTTTGACATTCAGCCAACCTATTGCACAAAGAACAATACTTCTTTATGCCTCCAACATATACCACCCCAGAGAGAAACACAGAACATCTATTAACAGGGAAAGAACTTACAGAGGTTGACTCTAGGCAGTGCGATTGAGTGCCAGATAATCCTTAAATTTGTTACCAAGAGTCTACCTGGAAATTTAAAAACAAATAAACATTTACTAGGTAGTTCATAACTGTATTAATTGTAATACTGAAGAGTTTAAAGAAATCTGAAGGTTTTGTAGTCCAGTCCCACAGTATCAGGCCATATCCTCATTACCCAGCATTCCCAATCCATAAAGTAGTGCCTCCTACATTTTCCTGAATTCTTACAACAGTACTCTACAAGGAAAATAAAGTAGAACAAAACAACCTGTAGTCTACAATAGGTACCTGTGGCAAAAACAGATTAAGCAAGTGGGCTCCCAAAATTGAAGGCAAAATATCTCACCCAACATGTGATTCAGAGAGGGAGCAAATACTTGATAATCTGAGAGATTATCTGAGGTCTGAGGTCCATCAGTAGCTATGAGCCACAAGGTATAGATAGGGGCTCTGGGGCAAGTGATGCTCTGTCTTCTTGGTGCTTGGGGGGGGGGGCCAACAGTGGGAGGGCTTCTAATGTCCTGGCCCCACTGGTGGACCTCCTGATGGCACCTGGTATTTCCGGCCACTCTGTGACACAGAGTGTTGGACTGGATGGGCCTTTGGCCTGATCCAACACTGGCGTCTCTTATGTTCTTATGAGAGATCTTGAGCATCTGTACTGACACATTCGACTCTAAATACTGGCACAGAAGCCCTACTATGATTTCATCATAAAAGCTGTGATAGTACCTTCTGTGATGCTCCAAAAGCCATTAGTAGTATTATAATTCAAACCAAGCAAGCTGGATGTCCACCTAATAAGAATGGACTATTAGACTTAACTTCAATGGTAAAGATGGAATGGTCTGGTAGTGCAAATAAAGATTGTATCTTAAATATTTTTGAGCTATAAGCTATTTTGAAAAAGTTTTTAAACAAAATCAGAATGTGACGCATAAACAGCCCAATCTTGAGGGCCAGTGTAACAGCACCACCACCACTGGATGGTTCCTTCTGTGCATTTCCACAAGGGGGGAAAAACATGATGGCCAGCAAAGCAAGACTGGGAATATTTACTGGGCTGCTTAAAAGGATGCCTTTTGCATGGGTCTCAATTCAAGGTGCCTTTAACCTTTAACATCGTTCATAGTTTGAGATCCATGTAACAGTGGGATATTTCTACATCTGCATGCGCTCACCATCTTAGTTCAGAACAGCAGATACCATCAACTTGGGCAGTGAAAACATGGGTCTTTTCTGTAGTAGCTCTAGTTTTATGCAATTCCCTCCCTGAACAAGTTTCAGGGAGATAGCTATGTTGGTCAGCAGCAGAAAAGCAAAATTCTAGCCCAGTAGCATCTTAAAGAGCAACAAGATTTCCAGGGTATAAGCTTTTGAGAATCAAAGCTTCCTTCACCAGACATGTATCTGATGAAGGGTGCTTTGACTCAAAAGCTGATACACAGGAAATCTTGTTGATCTTTAAAGGGCCACTGGGCTTGAATCTTGTCCCAGAACACGTGAGGAAGGCTACTTATGAAATGTACAGTGTACTCTCTGAGGTTGCATAAAGGCTCTATTTAGTTTTAGATCAATACATTTAAAGTTATAGCAATGGATTAATATATACTTTTGCTTGGGATGTAGCTAAACAATTAATTTTTAAAAATTAATTATATTGGCTTTTCCCTTTACTTTTTCTCCCATTAATTAAATCCATCTAGCTTATCCAATCCGACATCACTGCTGAGCTGCAATCATATTAACTGTATTAATGGCAATTAGTACCAGTATCTTGAAGAAGAAGAAGAAGAGATTGGATTTATACCCCGCCCTTCACTTGGAGTCTCAGAGCGGCTTACAAACTCCTTTCCCTTCCCCTCCCCACAACAGACATCCTGTGAGGTGGGTGGGGCTGAGAGAACTCTGACACAAACTGCTCTTTCAGGAACAGCTGTGCCAGAGGTTGTGACTGACCCAAGGTCACATCAGCAGGTGCAAGTGGAGGAGTAGGGAATCAAACCAGGTTCTCCCAGATTAGAGTCCGCACACTTAACCACTAAACTGCATGGCTGCTCAAAGAAATCATTCTGACACAGGCCAAGAAGGTCTGAGTCTAGGCTTAGCCTGGTAGATGGCTCCCTACCTGGCAGACTCAGCCAATCTGGCCACCTAGATTCATGCCATGGTAACATTAATGCACTCTATAGAGGTCCCCCCTCAAAATCATTTTGCAGATTCCAGTTGTTGCAGAATACTATAGCTCAATTATTATTGGGAGCTAGGCAGAGAATGCATATTACATCCATTCTACAGTCACTCCATTGGCTGCCCATATTTATTGGCTATCACATACAAAGATGTTCATGGCCTTAGACCCTCATATATGCAAGAATACTTCTCCACCTATATTCCGCCATGATTATTTTGCTCATCTGAGCAGGGCCTTCTGCAGGTACCACAACTGCCCCTAAGAATATAAGAAGAATCTAAGAGCCCTGGTGGATCAGACCAGTGTTCCATCTAGTCCAGCATCCCATCTCAAACAGACGCCAATCAGGTCCTCTGGCAAGCCAACAACAAGGCATGTAGTCTGAGACCTTCCCCTGATGTTGCCTCCACATGCCTTTTCTGTAATGGCCCCACCTCGCAGAATAGCCTGCCTGAGGTCAGGAAGGCTCACATGCTCCTAACATTTCACAAACTACATGGATCAGAATTGTTCAGGAGAGTATTTTTATAAAGGACACAAGGTCACATCAGAATAGATTGCTACAGGAAAATGCATCATGCTTCTACTTAGGTAATAACATGCTGTGCACTGTTTAATATTTATGCTTTGTTCAGACCACAGTTTTGCTTCAAATTTCTGCAATCCCTACTTATTAGATGTATCATCCTATTGATTGCAATATTGCGGTGGCTCAAGTGGTTAAGACGCTGAACTGCAGGCTGTGGAAGGTCAGTAGTTCAGCAGTTTGAGACCCGTCTCTAGTTCCAGCTCCTGCCAACCTAGCAGTTCAAAAGCAAGAAATTGCAAGTAGGTAAATAGGTACCACTTCAGTGGGAAGGTAACAGCGTTCCGTGCACCTTGGTGTTTAGTCATGCCGGCCACATGACCACGGAAACATCTTTGGACAGCGCTGGCTTTGAAACGAAGATGAGCACTGCAACCCTAGAGTCGGATTCGACTGGCTTTCAAGCAAGGGAACCTTTACCTTTACCTAAACTGCCTTGAGCATCAGTAAGAAAAGCAGACTGTAAATAACATAAAATAAATATAATCTGGGTATTATTTACAGTGGCAGATCACAAATCTAAGCTCTATTTTACCCTGTGAAGGCACTGCAGTGATGGCTGCTGTTCATACACCTTGGCTGCAGAGCTCACAATTATTATAAATATTAACTAACACACCACAATTGTAACACAGGTTGTATTACTACAGGCAGAAAGCAGGGGGTCTGCTCTCTTCTGGTGCAATGTGCTATATGACACACTTCAGCACTTGTTTATCCAGCAGCACTACTGGGAGACAGAGAAAAAGCTCACTTTAATAGAAGACTCCAAAGATCCTTTTTCCCTTCTAGAAATGAAATCATAATTGCCTGATGTGAGAAAGTGATATGATAAATTGCATGATGTGACAGTTTTTTATTTATCAGAAATAACTGTCAGCTTTTCTGTTTGCTTAGGTAAATGCAACTAGACTACATTCTGGAAATGTAGAATGTCATAATTTTCCATATCTGGCTTCAATTTTAAAAAACCCTGCTTTTTCTACCTGAAAAGAAAACACTCAGTGCACCAGAAAGACCAAACGTTTGACCAAAAAACAGCAAAACACATGTCAGCTCTATAAGTATGTATTTATAATACAGAAGTCTATACTTCAGGTTACCTTTGTCTCCATTGTTTCCTTTGGTATCTTCAATAGAATCCAAACAGTCAATGAGAATTTCTCCTGGTCTCATTTTCATTTGTCTAAAACAAAACTAAATTTCTTAAGACACTATATCAGCTGTTCCTCGCTTTTATTCAATTAAAATCTAAAGTGAACATTCTAAGACAATAATATCCACTAAGCATGAAAAATGGGGGTTTTTAACATCTTTGAAAGCATCCACTAAGATAGATGAGAATGTACCTGTAAGCAATTTTGTTATCTTGCAATGGTCTTTCTACACCCAGGACTCAATTTTAATTCCAAGATAGCATGCAACCCACAGAGTTGGCAGTACATAACAAGAAATCATGTACCACCTCACTGTCACATGACAGGGAGACAGAGCCAAGCTACTATTTCCTCAGGGTTAAGGGCCTTAACTTAAGGCTAAGATCTTGGGCAGCAGGTCAAGACAGGTAGCAACAGGAAACACATGGTTTATCAGGAGGTATGCCATGGTGAGGAGCAAGCCAAGGGTCACAGGCATGGAGGAATCATCTCCATTTAGTGATCTCATCTCCCCTCAGACAATTTCTCTCAGCAAGTAACCAATGAAAGCTAAGAAGCATGAGAGCCTTGCTCTCTACTTGTATGCACTAGCAGCACTCCTTCCAAAAAACAGCAAAACCCATGTCAGCTCTATATGTATTGATGACTCAGCAAGTGGGGCTTTATAGTCCATCTGAGGGTTCCAACCCACGGGCTAAAAGCTGCTTCCCATGAATGGGTGCTCACAGCTGGTACTATTGCTGTAAACAATTTACTTCTATTATGAAACCGTTTATTGACAATTTTTAAAAAAGAATTTGGCTGCGAAACGAATTACTTTCTCAGGCTGAGAAGCAATTTCTTCCAGGTTAGTAGTTTACTTACACACCGGGCTCAAAGTCACGTCATGTTAATCCAGGGGCCATCCTACATGTATGACTAACCTGTGACTTTTTTCTGTTTATTTGTAAGAAAATTGATATGCCTCCTTTATTCAGTCAGAGCTCTATAGCACCAATAAAAATATTAGCTCATTTTAGATTGGTAAGTGATCAATAATCCTTCAAAAGCAAGGAAGAGGAGACATTTTCAGTTCATACCTCTATAATGTATTCTTCAAACTAGGTGATAAAACTTCACACGGGCTTTTAAATGGGCATTAAATGGCACTGGGGGAAAGTTTGTAAAATACAGCAAAATAAAATTTCAGAATACATGGTGATTAAGTGCAATTCCACACATAATTACTCCTTTCTAAACCTATTGATTTCAGTGGGCTTAAACTAAAGTACCTCTGTGTAGGATTCTACTGTAGTAAGTGGATTTTACTGACAGGAAGCACACAACTTGACCAACTTTTTAAATGCTTTACCGTTTTGTGTGTGTTTGCGTGCATACACACATATATATATATCATGTTTGTTCAGTTAGCAGACTTGGATGTTCACTTGAACTGAATCGCAGCAGAAAATCACTAAATAAACTGGGCGTTCATTTTGTTTATTAAGAAAATTAGCAACAGTCAAGCAAACTGATTACAAATGCTGATTTCTCCATGCCTGTTAGCCCTCTGCATATCTCACCTAAATCCAATCATGCCTGCTATTGTCATTTGCCTGGTAATGTCATTTGGCATCTGAAATCACTCCACTTTCCAATAAGTCGGATGGACGGACTCCCATTCTAGCTGCATCTGAAGAGGGGGACAGTGCCTCACAAACCCTCCTGTCCCTGCCACTCCTTTTAATCCATGTTCACTGCAGTGTCCTCCAAGCAATTCTGCGCTAAAATCAAATTCAACCTTCTTTTTAATCCCGTTTTTCCCCCTTTCTGCACTTAAATCGAGTTCAACCTCCTTTTTACTCTGGGTTTTCCCCCATTCTGCATTATATTTTTCTGCACTTAAATCGAGTTCAGCCTCCTTTTTACTCTGGGTTTTTCCCCATTCTGCATTATATTAACTCCCTTCAGTGGTCAGCTTGGTTTCAGCCTGCTGTTGCCCCTGGGTTATTTGGATGCTGTTTTGCTGTGGATTTAAATTGCCTCGGCTAGAACACTTAGAAAATCCGGAGTGGCAAACAAATGCGGAAAGGAGGTGCTACTGGACTCTTCTCTACTGCTACAGGCAGACTAACACGGCTATCCATCTTGAAAAAGGTACTTGTGAGAGAAAAGCGCAGATTTATTAAAGTTCTCTCTAGCTCTCGCGTCGCGGGGCTGTCCAGTGACGAGAGCCCTACGGTGCCTACTCTAACGGTCCCACAAGGGGGTGTTGGCAAGCTCCTGAAGCTTCCTCGGGCAGTCGAAGCGGGCGGAGGACGGAGAGCGCGGCGGGGCCCGCTTCTTGTCGCAGCTCGGGAAGAGGACTCAGAGCGCCAGTTCAACGGCTAACAACCACAGACGCCCCGCGCCCCTTCTATCGCGAGAACAACTCACTGCGAGGAGATGTCGAAGCGGACATCCCTGTCCTCCCATAGTGAGTCCGCAGTAGAAGCCATGGCGACCGCGAAGCTCCTTCTCGGCGTCCGCTGCTGTCTTCCTTGGCAACCCTCCTGACGCGCCGCGACGAGGGACAAACTTCCTAGCGCGCACGCAGCTTCCGAGCGCATGCGCCAGGAGTCTTCTGTGAGGCCGGTCGAAGGCGGCGGGTGCTGTTTCCACAGCGCCCCCTCCCGCTTTTGTCGTTTTTCTTTCTCTCCCTCGCCTTCTGTTATCCTTAAACACCCAGAGGGGCTCAGAGGAAGCGCATATGCTTTTCTGTCTGGTACATTTTCATCCCGCTCTTC